CTTGTTACTTTTATGTATTGTTGAAGATATATTTTATGCCTAATTTTTCTCTTTTGTATGTTTTGAAATACATATAAAGGTTGATATTTATATTTCTTGTCTTCTCTTAATCTTATTACCCAACACCCTTTTGGTTTTTGATATTAGAAACTCTCATTTTGAAATACATATAAAGGTTGATATTTATATTTCTTGTCTTCTCTTAATCTTATTACCCAACACCCTTTTGGTTTTTGATATTAGAAACTCTCATATGTGATTCCTCTGAGGAGAAAGAAAATTGTCCTCTTATGTCCATCCCTCCATTGTACCTCTTCAACTTTAGAACACTACCATACCTTTCATAGCATGTATTACTCTAGGAAGCTGTATAACGGCTGGTGTAAGTTGCACTTGTCTAGTTACATCAGATGTAACTGCAAGATCCGGATGGTGAGTGGTAGATTCCAGATAATCTTGTTGGCTGACTGGCCATCTACGATGCTCAGGGATATGCTTAGAAGAGGTTGAGGTAACATTGTGATCCCGATCCAGATACGATGCTCCTTTCTCACTGGGTCTCCTTGAAAACTATATTTACAATAAAGAAAAAAAACAGTAATAAAATTTGGCAATGCTCAATTCAAAGGCTGTTGACTTGTAGAAAGTATGTATTCTATCATTAAAGTTTCATCCCTCCTATACAAATGTCATTTTTAGGAATACTTACAGAATCAATAGTCTCTGGCTCAAGTGGGGGGACATATGGTCCAGGAGAATCAATTTTGTCTATCTGACTGCCACGTTCACTGGTTTCAAATCTTGGAGAAAGAGCTGAACTGAGCACTTCGGTGATGTAGGAACTGATATTATTTTCACAAATTTGTTTGAAGATCTTATCCTCGAGAGCTAAACATATGAAAAAGAAAACGGTATTATACAGTGGAAATGCATATAAATAGGAATTACTTAAGATTAGATGTGATTACCTTTTTTGCCCATTTATAAATGTAATGGGTACTGAATAGGGAAAGACAATGTGATACTCAGAAGCACTCGTGCGCTCGGACCCCCCTAGGGGCTCACTAGCTTCCCATTCCCTCTTTTTAAAAATACATATTTTAATTAAAAACATTAGGAAGGTGGCATATTGCAAAGCAAAATACCAGCCTTTAGCATCTATTTATTTAAAGGAATGCCTTGGGTCCCACAAAATCTCACTGGCAAAGGATCACAGATAGTTTGCTTTCTAGTAAATAAGTGTGTTTTGACAGTAATGTTTTGAATGGGTCAGTGGTAGCCATTTAGGGAGTGGGTCTACCATACATACCAAATATATATGGTAGATCTACCATACATTCTCTACTCTACCTTACATTCTCAAAATTCAAAGCGGCTCAGAAAAGGTGAGTATCTCTGGTGCTGAGTGTGTGTCCCTTTTTACAGCATAAGTGGCTCCTACTTACTTTCTTGTAGCCTCAATGCCAGTTTTGCATTTGGCTAAATCCTTTGATTTGGAGCTCAGTGGAAGAGAAAACCATCTGTTTGGAGTAGGAACAAGAGAAGCAGATCCGGATGTCTTTCTTTGTTTTCTATGTGTTTCAGATGATCAGAGTTTAAATAAATAACTCCATCATCTGACCTTCCAATTTGACTGTTATTCTATAACTACAGTATAGATTTACAAAGCAAACTATTCTGCAGCACAGTAGATCAAATAAAAAAGTAACAAAGCTTTCTATCTATCCCTAAGGAAGTGCATTTTATTGCCTTAAGAATATCAGCAATCAAAGGGATATCACTGAATGTGTATGTGTGAAGGTGAATACATTGATGTTATCAATTCTTCCATCAGGTTGAACTGATAACAAGAGGACTCAACTGGGAAATGCATGTTTTGCCTATTAAAAAAAAAAACAGGTTTATTTATTGGAGTTGCTTCTGGACCTGACATAGAAACCAGATTCTCCATGACCCAGAATGCATTTTATCAGTTTTAGCACTAGCTGTACTGTCTAATGGAAAGCAGAAACTTGGGTATTGTTTATACTAAGATGACTCCAAGGCAGGGGCAGGATTACTGCAATGCATTCTACGTTGGGATGATTGGGAAAATGTTCATAAAATCTAATTAGCGTAGTGCAAATGGCTGCTCTTTCCCAGCTGATAAATTTGAATTGTTATGCTCATATCACCTATGCAGAAATCTCAGGCAATTCATTTCCAGGCACTAATACTCGAAAGACTGTACTTAATGTCTGCTACTGACTGTGATTGTTCCATTAATTCCCCATGCAACAATTTCTTCATTTTCACAGGGCCTCTACTTTTTAGATCTAATTATGCTGTAGGTACATTCTGCATCTTTGTTCTGTTTGATACCTTAGTTCCTGAGGAAAGTCAAGGCATGTGGTATGAGCTTTCTCTTTATCATCCCTGGAGAAGTTTCAATATCTTTATTTTGCAAGAGGGTGAACTTTAAAAAGCTTATAATAAGTCCTGGTTAAAATGGTAACTGACAAATGAATAACATAAAGATTTCTCATCATCAAACATTTAATAGTGTGATACATCCACAGATTTAGCCATGTGAATACCATAGTCCAAGTAAAGGATACCGCTCTTACCTTGCAGAGTCATGAAGTCATCTATCTGGTAGACATGCTCACTGTCTGGGTCAGAAGCAATTACATCCATTTCTTTTCGAAAATTTTCAAAATTGGGATCGGTCTTATGTACCACTCCAATTACAAATATTTCTATGTTGAGGGCATGGGCATCTTTCACCACAGCTTCCAATGTATGTGGGTCACGTTGATCTGCTTGCCCATCTGTTATTACAACTGCCACCTTTCTAACTCCTTGTCGAGCCATCTGGAATATATCAATGGCTTTGCTGATCGCTGTAGCAGTGTACGTGCCTTCCCCATGGTATTGCATTGCATCAACGGCACTTTTTAGGCTGTCTTTGGAAGGGAATTGCTGCAGTGTGGACACCACATCTACTTTGAGGCTAAAGTTGATGATGCCAACACGAGCTGTGGCTTGGTTGACTGTAACAGCATCGATCATGGTTTTCACAAACCGTTTGATCCTTTCAAAGTTTTCAGGCCCAACGCTTTCAGAGCTGTCAATCACAAACACAAGCTCCAAAGGATTTTCTCTACACTTAACACCACAGCCTGAAATAAGTGGGAGATGGAATAAAAGTATAAGCAATGTGTTGCCTGTATGATTTCCCAAGAACTAATAAGAGCCCCCAAACCTGAAACACACATAAAATATTTCTCATGTGAGCTGTCCAGAGTTGTGTTTAAGATGAGCGCCCATACAAATCAAATCAAATCAAATCAAATCAAATCAAATCAATCAATCAATCAATCAATCAATCAATCAATAAGCAAGCCCATTTTCCCTCCAACGGATAGTTGAGAAATTGAAAAAAGCTTACAATCAGGTGGCCATGCATTTTTCAGACCTCTCTTTCAAGGAACTGAATCAGGTTCAAATTTGATTTGATAAAAACCAGTGTTTTGAAGCTGCCCATCTAATATTAATGCCTAGAGAGAAGATTGAGCAGCAGGCACACAGATGATTAGCTCATGGAAATGCCTCCACTACAGAGAAACAATGTAGAGTTTCACTTTACAGGTTCAATTTACATTATAACAATAATTTCCAAATTTGAAAAAAGTCATATAAATTAACATGTGCAAATTTTACCCTAAATTATCATCTCCAATACTGCCTTTTTTCCTGACAACATGCAAGTAGCTCTCCTACAGATAATTCCTGTAACTGTGTGGCTTTTAGACCCCAGTCCAAGTAAATGTGTACATTGTTACTTAGAATAACAATATTAGAATTCTGGTGTGTGTGTGTGTGTGTGTCTTGTGCAATGCTCTCTAGCACACAGATTGCACACAGCCTAGCAAGGTATCTTGTTTTACTTAATTGGTTAGGTATTCCTAACACACCCAGAAAAAGACAGACATAATCTGGGATGATAAGAGAGCATCTTAGAAGCTAGACTGAGTTTTGGGACTAGCTACACCCGCTGTGGTAACCATTTTGTGAGAGCACCAAGATATGTACAGTAGAGTCTCGCTTATCCGACATAAACGGGCCGGCAGAACGTCGGATAAGCGAAAATGTCGGATAACACACAATAACAATTGAGTGCGGTAAAAAAAAAAAAACCCGATCCGCTGCACCTGTTGCAATCGATTTTTGCGTTGCGGTGCCACACCATCAGGAGCAACAAGCGACATAAACGGGCCGGCAGAACGTCGGATAAGCGAAAATGTCGGATAACACACAATAACAATTGAGTGCGGTAAAAAAAAAAAAACCCGATCCGCTGCACCTGTTGCAATCGATTTTTGCGTTGCGGTGCCACACCATCAGGAGCAACAAGAAAGAGTACACTCATGCTCGCAAACAAGCGGCACACTTTTCTCGTTGCCGATTTATGCGTGTTGTGTTTTTTTTAGGGGCGTCGGATAAGACGGAATGTCGGGTAAGCGAAGGTTGGTTAAATGAGACTCTACTGTACTAAACACTCCATAGATTATCAACATAAAGCATTGTATGAATATTTGTCCAAGCTTTTGTGGAACAAAGCTATCTTTCATTTTCCTTCCGCTCATGATTTTAGCCCCACCTAATATGTACTGATAAGATTTTAAATTCTTTAAGCAAAAATGGTTTCTACAGTGAAATGATTTCTTTTGTTAAGTAGATCTTACCACATATCTCCATAATGAGTTTGATTATTTCTTCTTTCTGAAAAAGAGCAACCCCTTAATTTGGTCTTTCAGAATTAGAAATGCCATAGGTATTTTTAAAAATAGTTTTCAGTGGGCCATATTTATACAGCATGTTTAATTGAGTCATTGGGGGGAGGGGGGATGAAGAGTATGTTGTGTGATACCCCAACCAGGCAACTGACTCAGATAGCCCTTGAGTTATGTTAGCCTTACTTTATGGTAAGGCTAACATAACTCTCCCTGGTTAGATGACATCTGAATAGTTTACTGGAAGGTTAATTGTCCCTTCTCTTCTGAGCCTAAGTCCTAGAGAGGCCTTTAAAAAATATGGCTTCCCTAGGAATTCCATCTCTTATCAGATTTTAGTTTTCACTCCTCCTTCAACCACTCAGGAGGGAGGGTAAGGAAGGATAAAAAAGAGGTAGAAGCTGGATAACCTTATCCAGGATGGTGCTGATCCAATCAAGCTATCATGAGTTTTTTGAAAAATTGCTCTGGTGGGAAAAAAAAATCAATAGTGGCTACTTCCAAGCTTCCTTTGCTATGGCCTGGAAGACTGTCAGGCCCAGCCCAAGAACAATGATGAGGCAGTGCAGTCCAGTATTGTTCCTTTATTAGCTTACACCCTAAAGACAGAATCTCACCAGACTAAACCTATGCTAAAGCAACTAGTGGATATACCCTGTGAGACTCTAGGGAGGGGCTAGCCTAAGCCTCTTCTTCTCACGGTCCTGCTGCAGGCTGAGAAAGTGCTTGCCCTGTACCCTCTCCTGGAATGCAGTCCCTCCCTCCTGATAGCCTTGATCTTCCTTTCCAGTATCCTCCGTGCACATGCCTTCCAGTACCCAGACTTAGCATATAGCTACTCCTTACTGAGTGGATCACCAGAAAATATGTACTGCTACCACATGGAAGTCTGTTAATGGGGAAGCAACTAAATGGGTTATTTAAGCTGCTTGGACACAGCCAATATATATTATCATTAAACACGCCTGTAAGTTCTCAATATATTTTAATGGACAATTGTGTGGTTGCTTTTTATTTGCTTTAGGCAAATACATTACAAATACTGGTAAATTCCAGCCTAGCATTATTCAGATATTATTCTGAATGTATGTTAATGGTGAATGAAATATTATTTGCAACTGCTGGCATGATATCTAAAAGAGATTGTTTGTAAGATCTCTGACATTATATATATTTCATATGTGTGCAGACTTTTTCCCCCCAGAAATTAAGCTGAATTAATTAATTAATAATTATGCATAGGGAGCTGGTTCTTTTCCATTCTAATTTCACACATTTGCAAAGGAAATACTTAAGCTGTGCTAATTGTGACTTTTCCTCTAAAGTAATCTTTTGATATAAACAAATAAGAGTTGCACTTACAGTAAGACCAGGTTCGCCCTTTTGTCCTGAAAATCCCTAAAATATACAACAATGGCACTTTATTTCACAGTCTTGTGCAACATATTGTTGTCATGTAATATAAATAATGGGTTGGCTTCAGAGTAAGTCAGGTGTGCCAAAGTCCATTTGATTTCAATAGATGCTCTTTGTATGACTAAGTCTAGATCCAACCCAATGTAAAATATTTAAACTTTACCCTTGGTCCTTGAGGGCCGGGTTCTCCAATTTCTCCTTTGTTACCTCTCTTTCCCTGATCTCCCTTCTCTCCATAGTCACCCTAAAAAGACAGAACATTCTTTTAATAGCACGAATAAATAACAGGAATACATAGCTTAATATTAATTCAGTGCATTTTACCGGGTTTTCTTATGAAGAAAGATGTTGAGTTATGCAAATCAAATATAGCTAGAATAAAGAAAAGTTATACAAAATAATCTACCCTAGCACCTTTCTGCACAATCACTGCAATAAAGTACAATTGATATCCAGCTTTTTTCATTAAATCTATTAATTACTCAATAGGGAGTCTTTGTATGCATAGACACATCACAGCATTTTTTCACTATACTCCTTGACTTTCATTACTAGAGTAATGTTTCCATTGTTAAGTCTCCTTTTCTTGGTACTGGTATGTAAATTGATCTCTTCCAATCTGTTGGCTACTGGGCCATTCTCCAGATTTGCTGGCACAGTTTGGTTAGAACCTTTACTGATTCTTCTGTTGACTGCAGTATTTCTGTAGATATTCCATCAATTCCTGTAGGCTTCCAACTTGGTAATGGCTATGCATGCTAATCTAACTTCATCTTCTAATTCTAAAATACATCTTGTAAATAGGAAATACATTCTAAGGTATCTTGGACATTGACATCTCTATTGTACAGAATTTTAGTATACTCCTTCCTTCTTTGTTTGATCTTCTTTGAATCAGTTACTACCTGCCTGTTGACATCCTTTACCATACATCCATAAGCTTGAAACCTCCTTCTGAGTTTGGAGTTCTTTGGGAAGACTTCTCTTGTTTTTCTGTGTCTGTTTCCATCTTCAGTGTGTTTACAGATATCATACTACTGCTTTTTGTCTCTTCTAACAGGTCTTTGAAATTCTTAAGTTCCTTTCTGAAATCTTTGTCTTTTTTAGCTCTGGCTTCTCTTCTCTTGGCAATTAGCACTGTTTCTTCTGATATCCTGTTTGCTTTCTTCTGTTTCTTGTCTTTGGCAGTCTCTTTTCACATTCATCCTTGACAACCTCTTTGATTTCATTCCATAGTTTCTCTGGTTCTCTATCAATGAGGTTCAGGACTTCAAAGCAATTCCTGTTGTTCTGCTTGAAAACTGTGAATATATGCTCAAGGTCATATTGTGGAAACTGGCTGGCTTTGTTCTGTTTTGCTTGATTTGGAACTTGCACATGAGCAGTTAGTTATATACGTACACACAGTATACAATTCTTCTCTTAGTGCAACCAGTAAGTAGGGATTGTTGTATAGAATATAATTACAGAAGAGTTACGGATCTCACCCGTTATGGTGTATTGATTCTACTGATTCTGCTTCATTGATTAACTGAATGCCTATGCAATTGTTTTCTTACTTTGAACTTTCTATAGGCATCTAGTTGGTCACTATGTAGGTGAATAACTAGGTAGGTGTTTAGTTTGATTATGAATGTTCTTATATGTTCTTATTGTTAAACTTCCTAAGAGAAAATAAAACTTCAAATATTGATATTGTATTTAATGGCCAAATCTTATCTCTGTTGCTGTTATTATTATTTGATTTGTATCTCACTTTTATGGCCAATAATAATTCTTTTTCAAAGAATCCTGTAAGAACCAGCTGAAATCAGTAATAAACTGTAGCCTACATTAATTATAATAAAACTATTATAAAAAATACTGGAATGAGCCTCCATTAACCTCTACCTTCCTGAAGACAGAACTGTTACAGGTCAGCAGAGGTGCAGCATGTGGAACACAGAGAGTGATCCACAGGACCTGCCTGGGGCTCAAGATATGAAGGATCAAATACATTCAGAACACATTAAATCAACCAGATCAGGTTCATATTTAGTAAATGAGCTTTTGATATTTCTGTACTCTGAAGTCTGTAGAGAACGTGGAGATAACCTTGAAGAAGGTGTGCAGGAACAAGTAAAGGAAAATAAAAGACTATTCAGTCCTGGGAAAAGAGAAGGTATGAAAAAGAAACTCAAAGTAACCCCACTTGATTCTGCTTGGTATAAGAGGGTGCAGAGGCTTTCAAGATTCCGTTATTATACCCTGAAACAATAAATTACTATTCCTGTGGTCCTTGCACTGTTTTCTGACCTGACCTACCTCAAAGGGCTGATGATCTGGTTCTAAAGGACCATCAATGAACTGTCATTAGCATGTATTAGTTTTTATGTTACCCATTCAAAAGATGATAGGCAATAATGGTCTTAGGCATTTTCAGATGTATAATCCCTGAAGCTATTAATCAAGATTGTTTTGTAGCTTTATGTTTTTTCCTCTTTAACAGAATGCAAGAAAGAAAACCTAGAAAAGTTAAAGACCTGGCTCTTCAGGAAGCCTTTTAGAGATGTGGAAGTTTAGCCTAACTCCAAGGATAGCATTACCAACAGAAGTTAATAGGAGTGATGCGAAGTTTCTAACCCTATCTTTGGCAATTCTTAAGCCATTCTGAACCCATGGCAATCAGCAGCATGGAAGTCCAAGCAAATAAGCAAACTGAACACTGTAAAATTCCATAAACAAGGCAGGTTGACTGCATGATAAAAGCATAATCTAACAATCCCCTTGCTCCTCTGTTGCAGGAGATGTTTTGTTATTTTTTTCAAGAAACAAAGTATTACTGCTCATAGGAATCCTGGCCTGTTGTTTCCAGTATATAATGTGGGGCAGGGGAGGGGGGGGGAGACCCTGATTCACTTCTAAACCTCATCCTGAATAAAAATTGAGGAAGAAATTCAGATTTGTATATATACTTGCCTTTTTAAAAAATAAAACTGTAGGAAAACTTTTCTATGAACAGTCTGAAATCTGATTCAGTAAGATAATTGGAAAAGCGCCATCAGTGTTAGTAACCAGGGTATTCCTAAATAAGGTATACAATGAACATTTAATCTGATTGTTGAAAGGCAAACCTCTTACCTTTGGACCAGGTAGTCCAATTCCTATGGAGCCCTTTGGTCCTGGTAAACCGTGAACTCCTTGCTCTCCCTGAAAATAACATGGAAGAGTAATTCCAGATTTACCTTTGCAAAAGATCTATCTTGCCCTGTAATATTTAGCAGGCTAAAGAAACCTCTGCTCTTCGGTATTCATTTAGGTCATAGGAAAGAATTTTATAGATCCCGATAAAGCTGGCCTCCAGTGCCCATAATCTTTTATCACTGGCTCTGCCAACTGGGCTGATGGAAATTAAGAATCCAGAGATATATGGAGAGCTGTATACTCTTTACTCTGACTCTAAGTCATTTTCTGTTTAAATCAGAGGTGGTTCAGTTTTATATCTTTTGGGCTTGGAGTTCAGTGTACACATAGCTATGTTTGTTAAATATCTACCTTTATCAAACTTACAGAAAGCAAACATATAGAACCTTCTCTATAGTTATTGAGGTTTAGCAAGTTATTATATCCCTCTCAGTAGCACAGTTTTATTGTCAGTTGCCTACAGAGCCGTTGAGTTAAATGTAAGCAAAAAACAAATAATTATTCAACCTGTGAATTTATGTTTCCAGTGAACAGTGTTTACATATATGAGCCCAGGGACTGGAACACAGATGTTTTATAATGATACAGCTATTGAACAACAGAAAGCAATTTTCTGTTTTCTTTTTCAAAAACTCCAAACTGCTGAATCCTGGGGTTTTAGGAAAGTACAAAGAAAGACATAACTCTGATATTCCCTTGGCCAAATGAGGACATTTTCCCAGGAAACGGATGCCAATATCGCTGCATCTTTTGCAAAAGATAAACACAGATCTCTGCAGCAGGCTTCCTTGCTTGGGCTTTTTCAACAACAGTGGCAATATCATTGGTAAGGAGGAGTTCTGTCCTTGAGAAATGACTGGAGAATTTCTCTTTCCCTCTACTTTTCTCATTACAGATTGGGTAGAGACATTTGGAAGGTCATTTGTGCTCTACTCTAGAAAATAGTAGAGGCAAAGTAGCTTGTATTTTTGGCTTGTCCTGAGCCACAGGTTAAAAATTAAGGCATGAAGGCAAGATAGACAGTTAGACAGTTAGACAGGCAGACAGGCAGACAGACAGATGGAGATGGCCTATGCATATGTTCAAACATACATTCAGTTAGATCACTGTCTTCCCTAATGGTTGTCAACCAACTCCACAAATTTAGGATTGCCTAAATTCCAACAGGCCTTCATTTGCATATGCTAATTTCTATGCATTGATACAAATTTGGACTAGCTGTTATCTTATCATAATGGGAAAGTCAATGCCTCTTGTGCTTGTTCAGTCCATGGTCCAAGACCTAAGAGCTGATTCTAGGGAGTCTATTTGTCTTCCTTTCTCTTAAATTCAGTTGAAACTGGCTAGCCCTTCAATTAAAAGGTCTGCAGGTCTGCTGGCCTTCCAAATATTGTCAAACTACAGTGCCCAGCATCAGTTACCTTAAAGCACACTGGCTGAGTCTGCTAGCTCTAGTTCAACCACATCTGGAAGGCAACTAGTTCCCCACCATGAAACAGAGGATATTTTCCCATAGAAGATGACCTCCTGGCAATATTTTAGTTATGGATGCTGGACTGTCCTCTCTAAAGAGCCACAGGGCCACCCTATTAGGCTATATTTAAGAATATACGTTGATATAAATGTAATGGATTTGAGATCTGCCAGTCAGCTGGAGTTTTTAAATTCAAGGGGAAATTCAGCAATAAAACAAATAGCTATGCAAAACATGGGAGGTTGACCTATTTTCAAAAGCCTTCCCTAGCATTAATACTCTTACCTTACTTCCTTGTATGCTATCTCCTGGAGCACCTGCCGGGCCTGGAAAACCCTTTTGTCCCATAACACCCTATTAAAAAAAACATGGGTGTGTGTGTGTTAGAAATAAGAATTTAAGAAATCTGCAGAAAATCCCAAACTCATTAAGTATCTTCCTGTCAGTTTTGAAAAAATACAAAACCTTTACATTTTTTATGAATTTACAGTGTGATTGTATCAAAGGACAACTAAGATCCAGTGGCTGATCTTTGGATGATTTGCTTCAGATAAACAAAGATTTTAGATTGCTGTTATTTCACAAACATCAGAATTACTCCTGCCCCAATCCCCCCCTCCCCCACACACACACTTAGACTTCTGAAATGAAGGGCATGTTCACACCACTACCACTTCTACTTCCTAAACTCTCAGGAGAATTTGAAGTCAGTCTGTATACATTTTCAATTGTCTGATGTGAAATGCTAAGAACAAGACATAAAAATCACCGCCCCATTCCAACTTCAACAACAAAAATTTCAGATTCACTCCAACAAAAACTTAAAAAAAAAAAAAAAAACGCCTGCGAGGAAAATAGCAGCTTGGCATACCTTGGCATCTTTCTCATCTGAAGAGAAGGAAGAAATTTACAAAATCCTTGTCAGTTTCTCCTCTGTTCACCTTCTCTGAGCTATTGAGAGGATGCCATCATGGGCACTTGCAGGATCTTGCTACAGTACTTTCATCAAAACATCGTAAGCACCACCCCTTTTGGATATATGACATCCCACTACACATGCATTGCAATGGTACAATACTGCTTTCATCAGCTTGACTCATTCGATCACCTCCGTGCCCACAAACACTATATTAGGGGTAAGAAGGAGGAGGAAGGCAAGACTGGGGGAAATTGAGTCATAACATTGAAATTAAAAAAAAAAATGAATTCACAAACAAATACTGTTGCTGGCATGGGGACAGACAAGACTGGAGTTGCTTTCAAAGTGGCACAGGAGGTTGTGTGGGTGTTCACAGAAACAACCAGGAATTGGTCCTGGTGTGGAAGGACTGTAGCCTCTGTTCAGTTCTGTTACTGAAAATACGTTCTTGGGTTCAACTGTTAGAAACTCTTGGCCTTATGATCCACTTTCTTATGCCTCTACTTTGGCCTCTCCCTATGAGACAATACACACTCAATCTTCAGATGACTTTGTTGCTGGTCAGTTTATTTTTTAAAATGTATTTATTTAAAGAAGTTATATGGCCACCTATCTCACACAGTGATCCTAGGACAATGTTTCTCAACCTTGGCAACTTTAAGATTAAGCCTTACTGGGGAATTCTGGGAGTTGAAGTCCACACAACTTAAAATTCCCAAGGTTGGGAAACACTGTCCTAGGGGGTTCACAACAACCAATAAAAATAACCATATATAAATAGATCATGCTCTTCCCACCAGGTGCCAGACCATCCATACTGTTAACTCCCTGACTCAACCCCACCCTAGTTTGATACAACACTGTGGTCTTATTTTAGGTTTAGCTTAGAATCATAGAATCACAGGGTTGGAAAGACCTTGGAAGTCTTCTTCTAGTCCAACCCGCTGCCCAGTGCAGGCAACTTCATGTCATCCTGGACAAAGTCCAATCTTTTATTGAAAACTTCCAGTGATGGAGCATCCACAACTTCAGGAGGCAGGATATTCCACTGCTTATTTTATTTTATTTATTTATTTATTTATTTATTAAATTTGTATGCTGCCCATCTCCCCCAATGGGTGA